GACAGTCACAGTAATCAAAACCGACTGGTACAGATACAATGAAAAATACACAGATCAATGGACCAGAATTGAGAACTCAGAAGTAAATCCGTTAATCTATGCTCAGTTGCAGCCATTTTCGAATGATCATATTGCAAAAACCACCCAAATTATTATATTAAAAAATGGCTGCAACCATACATTGACAGAAAGCTTCCAGAAGTTCAAGCTGGATTCAAAAGAGGACATGGAACGAGGGATATCATTGCTGATGCCAGATGAATCTTGGCTGAAAGCAGAGAATACCAGAAAGATGTTTTCCTATGTTTTATTGATTATGCAAAGGCTTTCGATGATGTGGATCATGACAAACTATGGACAATGTTTCAGAGAATGAGTGTTCCATAACACTTAACTGTGCTTGTGAGGAACTTGTACATTGACTAAGAAGCAGTTGTTCCAACAGAACAAGGAAACACCAAATGGTTTAAAATTAGGAAAGGTGTGGACCAGGGTTGCCTTCTTTTACCATACTGATTCAATCTGTATGCTGAGCAAATAATCTGAAACGATGGATTATATGAACAAAAATGTGACTTTGGAGGAAGACTCATTAACAACTTGTGGTTTGCAGATGATACAACCTTTCTTGCTGATAGTGAAGAGGACTTAAAATACTTACTGATGAAAATCAAAGACTACAGCCTTTGGTATGGGTTGTAACTCAATGTAAAAAAAATCAAAATCCAAAAAAACCTCACCACTGAACAAATAAATCACATCCATATAAATGGAGAAAAGACTGAAGTTGTCCAAGACTTCATTTTGCTTGGATCAACCTTCAACACTTATGGAAGCTGCAGTCAAGAAATGCATTAGGCAAATCTGCTGCACAAGACCTCTTTAAAGTGTTGAAGAGCAAAGATATCAGTTTGAGGACCAAGGTGCACCTGAACCAAGCCATGGTATTTTCAATAACCTCATATGCATGTGAAAGTTGGACAGTGAATAAGGAAGACCATACAAGAATTGATGCACTTGAGTTATGGTGTTGCCCCCCCCCCCCCCCCCCCCCAAAAAAAAAAAAATCTGTGTTGGAAGAAATACATCCAGAATGCTCCCTGGAGAAGAATATCATGTTTGGTAAAAGGGAGGGTTGGAGAAAAAGAGGAAGACCCCCAATGAGATGGATTGGCACAGTGGCAGCAGTGATGGGCTCAAATGTAGCAACAATTGTGAGGTTGGTACAGATCCATGCAGTGTTTTGTTCTGTTGTGCATAGGGTCACTATGAGTCAGTACCAACTCGATGGCATCTAACAACAACAACAATGCTTAGTTGATCTTACAAAGGATCAAAGCACATTAAAAGGGGGAAGAGATAATCTGTTCAACAAACGGTACTGTCAAATCTGGAAATCCATTTGCAGAAGAATGAAACAAGACTCAATATCTCACCATATAAGAAAATGAACTGAATGTGAATTAAAGACCTAAATGTAAAATCTAGGATTATAAAGGTCATCAATGAAAAAAATAGGGACAAATTTAGGGACTCTTGTTACATGGCATAAACACACCATCAAACATAACTGAAAACACAAAAGCAGCAGAAGACAAAATAGATGATTGGAACCTCCTAAAAATTAGACACTTATGCACATCAAAAGATTTTACCAAAAGAGTAAAGACAGAACCCTCAGGCTGGTGAAATATTTTGGCAATGATACATAAATCAAGGGATTATTGTCTAGAATTTATAGAACAATTCAACACCTCAGTAAGAAGACAAAATCCAATTAAAAACGGGTGGAGGAAATGAACAGACACTTCATTAAAGACATTCAAGGGAGCAACAAACATATGAAGAAATGTTTACAATCACTAGCCATTGTTGTTGTTGTTAAGTGCCATCGAGTCGATTCCGACCCATAGCGACCCTATATATGGTTTCCAAGGAGCAGCTGGTGAGCTTGAACCACCGACCTTGCAGTTCAAATGACTTTGCATTCTGACGCATTAGCCCACAGTGCCACACTAGCCATTGTTTTGTTAAGTGCCATCGAGTCAGTTCCGACCCATAGCGACCCTGTATAGGGTATCCGAGGAGCTGCTGGTGAGTTTGAACTGCCAATCTTGCGATTCAAATGGCTTTGCAGTCTGGCGCATTGACCCACAGCGCCATTGGTGGTTATGTACCGTGGAGTCGGTTCTGACTCATAGCGACCCTGACAGGGTTTCTGAGGCTGTAAATCTTTACGGGAGCAGAAAGCCCCATCTTTTCCCGTGGAACAGCTAGTAGTTTCGAACTGCTGACCTTGCGGTTTGCAGCCTGATTCTTAACCACCACGCTACCAGAGCTCCTTATGCAAATCAAAACAATAACATCTCAGCCCAACATTTACAACAAAGGTAAAAAAAAACAGAAAACAACAAATGCTGGAGAGAGTGTGGGGAATATGGTACCCTCTTACACGGCTGTTGGGTTTGTAAAATGGTGCAACAGCTGTGGAAGATGGTATGACACTTTCTCAGAAGGCTGGAAATAGAAATATCGTATGACTCAGTAATCTCTCTACTTGGTACTTATCCTGGAGAAATAAGAGCTGCAACACAAATAGATATATGCATGCCATGTTCATTGGAGCATTATTCACAAGAGCAAAACATTAGAGACAACCTAGATACCCATCAGCAGAGAAATGGTTGAACAAACTTTGGTACATACACACAATAGAATATTATGTAACATCTAATATTATGATTTAGTAGTCCTGCTGTAGCATTGTAGGATAAGCACTTGACCATAATGTCGATTTGAACTGCAAGGTCGGTGGTTCAAACTCACCAGCAGCTCCTTAGAAACCCTATACAGGGTTGCTATGAGTTGGAACTGACTGGATGGCAGTTAACAACAACAACAACAATATTATGATGACTCTGAAAAATGCCATATAACATGTAAGAACCTGAAGGATATTATGCTGAGTGAAATTAGTCAATTACAAAGGGAAAGATATTGCACAAGGCTCCTACTGTAAAAAAATCAAGAAAAGATTTCAGTTTATAATAGACTTTCTGTGAAGTTTTTCAGGGATGTGAGGGAAGGGAAAATTAGTCACTGGGTAAAGTGTAGACATGTGTTAACTTGGGTGACAGGGATGGCAGTTAAAATGAAAAGAAAGCATAAAAAGAAAAAGGTAAAAGGAAATTGCCTTCTTCTCTTCCCCCTTTCCCCCCCCCCCCCCATATACTGGAAGGGAAGCAATGTATATTTATTTTCTCACTAAAAAAAGAGCTTAAACATTATTTTCCTTTGAAACATGAAGGTCAGGTTACTATGGCAACATCTTCTGTGCTATTTTGACATGTTTAATAAAGGCAGGCTGGCCTCTTAGTTCATGTTAATAATTTTATTTTCTTTAATAACATGCCTGCAATGATGGTGTGATGTTATAGGATAAGCACTCGACCACAAGGCTGGTTTGAACTGCAAGGTTGGTGGTTGAAATTCACCAGTCAATCCTCGAGAACTCTGTACAGGGTCACCATGGGTCGAAACCGACTCGACGGCACTTAACAACAACAACATGATGGTGAATTACGATATTCAGAAATGTTTTTGAAGCCTGCCTTGTATAATAAAGTGAGTCGTTGCAAAATAAAACCCAACAAATGTAAAAATGCAAAGCAAATAAAATTGAAACAAAAAATAAAATAAAGTGTTAAAAAGCTAAGATGTCACTTTGAAGACTAAGGAGCACCTGATCCATCCCACGGTATTTTCAGTTGTCTCATATACATGCGTAAGCTAAACCATGAATAAGAAAGACTGAAGAAGAGTTAATGTCTTTAATTATGAATTATGGTGTTGGCAAAGAATATTGCCAACTATTCCATGGATTGCCCAAAGAATGAACAAATTTATGTTGGAAGAAGTGCAACAGGAGTGCTCATTAGAAGTATGAATGGCAAGACCTTGTCTTACGTACTTTGGAAATGTTATCAGGAGGAAACCGTACCTGGAGAAGGACATCATGCTTTGTAAAGTAGAGAGTTAATAAAAAAGAGAAAGGCCCCCATTGAGATGGATTGACACAGTGACTGCAACAATGGGATTATGGGTAGGATTGTGAGGATGGCCCAGTACTGAGAAGTGTTTTATTCTGCTGTATATAGAGTTGCTATGAGATGGCACCTAACAACAATAACAACATCTGTGATAGGAGACACAGATTTCTGGCAGTTGAAAGATCTGTTTCTAGTCCTGCTTCTACTCACTATTTGCTTGATTTTATTGCCCTTATCTGTAAAATGAGAAGAAGCTCACTTGCGTTTTATAGCTCTTCAAAATTTGTGACATCAAATGAGAAAGCAAGTGCAACCATTTAAGGAAACCGAAGTGGAATGATGTCATAAAATTTTTGATCTTCATGATTAGAGCCCAAGAAACAACAATATGTTTAACTGTCTTTGAAGAAACCAGTAATTTAATGAAAAATTAAAGACAAGAACAGGCGATGCTACATCATCTATCTATCTATATCTATAGATCTCTCTATCTCTACCTCTATCTCTATATGGTGGCTGTGTGCTGTGGAGTCAGTTCTGACTCACAGTGACCCTCTACAGGGTTTCCAAGGCTGTAAATCTTTATGGGAGCAGAAAGCCTCATCTTTCTCCAGCGGAACAGCTGGTAGTTTCGAACTGCTGACCTTGCGTTTCACAGCAAGATTTATAACCACTACACGATCAGAGCTCCTTATATCTATACATTGTTGTTGTTAGGTGCCATCAAGTCGGTACCGACCCATAGTGACCTTATGCACAGCAGAATGAAACACTGCCCGATCCTGGGCCAACCTCACTACTGTTGCCACGCTTGAGTCCATCGATGCTGCCACTTGGCCAGTCCATCTCATTGAGGTTTTTAGAGCGAGACAATTTGGTTATAATCTTGGTCAATTCTAGTAGGACAGCTTCTGTGGAATACAGTTCTAGGTCCCTCCTAAAAAGTCTCACCTGAAATTCGGATGTGCTTGAAAGAAGCTAATTTCTCTCTTGGTCGCCTCTGCCAAGCTCAGTTTGTCAGTGATCTCTTTTTGGCCCCGGCACCTCACAATCAAGTAGCCTTTCTTGAGGTGGTAGGTGAGATTGTACACCACATTCAGGATGTTTTGCTCAGCACCCTTGTCCACTAGATCTGGTTTGGTTAGGATGCCTGTGAGAAGGGTAGAAAAAAGCAGTGCACAAGTCAGATCGTCCCTTTCCTCTAAAGACATTTGGAACTTGCTAGGCTATGAACTTCTTTTATGGCCAAGACCACCAAGACCTCCTGAAGCCTCAGTTCCTTAGTAGCTTTCCATTTATTCCATCATCACCCCTCTCGTTTTCGACTTTTTTCACTCACACACCCATCCCTCACTCATTGTTCACACATTGCCCTGTCTAATTTATTTAGCAAATGTTTCTTGGGTGTTCGTTGTGTGCCAGGACTAGACTACCATTCTCAGAACAGATGGGGTCCATCTACCACCTTCTCCAGAACACCACTTCATATTGTATGATTTCATTTATATAATAGGTACAGAATAAGCAAAATCATGGAGACAAGAAGTAAATTTGCAGTTGCCTAGGACTAAGGTAGTAGGGAGGGGAGTGGGTGAGTCATGGGTAATGCCAAATGGCTGCTGATGGTACAAGATTTCTTGTTGGAGATGATTGTTGTTGTTGTTAAGTGCTGTCAAGTCATTGGGGATGATAGACGTATTCTAAAATTGCTTGTGATGGTGGTTGTACAACTCTATTAATATGGTATATTCCTTTGAACTGTACACTTGATATGGATGAATTTTATGGTATGTGAATTATATTCTCAATAAAGCCATTATAAAAAAAGAAAGGATAATTAAATTTTCAACGTTTAAAAGCACATTATTTTATTTAAGCATTAGGCTAAGGTGCCCATTATCTGTGAAAGAATGGAAGATATAGAGGATTAAAGCCTGCCTCAATATTAACATGTCTATGGAGCAAGAGACTCTAGGAGAACTCTGGGGTTGGGGGTGGGGGATAAAAAAGCATTTTCCTTCCTGATAGAAAGCTAAAACCCAAATGTTAGAATTGTACAATCCAATATGGCAGCCTCTAGGTAAATGTGATTGTTTACATTTACAGCAATTAAAATTAAGTAGAATTTTAAATTCAATTCATAACTCAGGTTTCAAGAATTTGGTTTTCAATGTTGGCTAGTTTTGGATAGCTCAGATTATAGGACATTATAGAACATGTGGACAGGCTTCAGCTGAGCTTCCAGACAAATACATACTCGGAAAAAGGAAAGATGTGATACTTCCAAATATTTAGTCACAGAAAATCTTATGAATAACAATGGAACATCATTATTCAATGGAATATTGAATATTGAAACATAATGAAGAGCACCAGAGTATTACCAGATATTGTCAGGAGAGACCAATCGCTGGAGAAGAACATTATGTTTGGTAGGGTGGAGGATCAGTGAAAAAGAGGAAGACCCCCAACGAGATGGATTGGCCAAGTGGCATCATCGATGGACTCAACCATGGCAATATGGTAGTGAGGTTGGCCCAGGATCGGGCAGTGTTTCGTTCTGCTGTACATAAGGTCACTATGAGTCGGCACTGACTCGATGGCACCTAACAACAACAACAATAGTGCCAGAAAATGAGTCCCACAGGTTGGAAGGCACTCAAAATCTGACTGGGGAAGAGCTGCCTCCTCAAAGTAGAGCTGACGGTGGTGACGCAAATGGAATAAAGCTTTCAGGACCTTCAACTGCTAATGGGGCACAACTAAAATTGATAGAAATAGTTGTAAATATCCATTAACAATCAAAAGAACATGGACTGTCCAAAATACAAATCTAGGAAAATTGGAAATTGTGAAAAATTAAATGGAACGCATAAACATCGATATCCTAGTTATCAGTGAGCTGAAATGGACTGGCATTGTCTGTTTTGAATCTGACAGTCACCTAGTTTACTGTGCCGAGAATGACAAATTGAGGAGGAATGATGTTGCATTAATCATCAAAAGGTACATATCAAGATCTATCTTGAAGTACAACTTTGTTTGTAATAGGATAATATCCACACACCTACAAGGAAGACCAGTTAATATAACTATTACTCAAATTTACACACCAACCACTAAAGCCAGTGAGGGTGAAGTTGAAGAATTCTACCAACTTCTTCAGTCTGAAACTAATCAACCATGCAATCAAAATATATTGATAGTTACTGGTGATTGGAATGCAAAGGTTGGAACGAGTGGGAACAGACTCAATGACACTTAACAACAACAACCTCTGCTGTACAGCCACACCTTGAAGTCAGACTTTTAGCCTTCTGAACTTTGAGAAAATAAACTTGTTTTCTTTAAGGCTGCACACTTCTGGTATTTCTATTATAGCAGCAGAAGGCACCTAAATCATGTCCTTTCTAATGGCTCCAATCTCACTCTGTCTCCCTCTGTAAGTGCTTGCTTTGATGGTCTCCTCTCTACCTTCCTCTCCTTCCTCTACCTTTCCTCTAGCATTGGATGAAAAACTTTGAATTCTGAGATTTTTCTGATAGTTTTGCTTATGTTCTTTGAGAGTGAAATTGCTGCTGCATTTTTTGTTTGTTTGCTTGCTTATGTTGGAAACCTGAAGGTCATCTTCCACTAATTTGTCCTGTTATTTTATCTGTGGCAAAGCTTGGACAAGTCCATTCCCTGAAAATTTCCTGGCACCTCAGTAAACAATTTTCTCTCTGTTTTTAATCTTCCTATTAATAAAAGTTGTAACTTAACAACTTTTGTTAAGTGTATATCTCAACATGTTATCACCAGAGCCAAGATGCATGTGAATCCACCTGGACCTCCCATTGGGAAGGGAGAGAATCTTTCACTGGGAGTGAAGAAAGGCAGCCAAGAAAGCCCTGTCCCCTGGAACCAGTGGTCAATCCTGAAGACCACAATCTTTGTACTCAATTTGGAGAAAAGCTAGTGATATAATAAATATTGTAATTAGGACTCACCCTAACTGGGCATAGAGGCTTCTCATACTCTTACGTCATACATCCTACTCATATTCACACTCATCCTCTCAATTTCAGAGTTGCTTCATTTAAAATAGCAGATTCAAACTGGGAAATGCATATGCGTCTGTGTTCAGTCCAGCTCATAAACCTCCTTTTACTGCTCAGCTTGTATTGGGCCACAGAGAAGGGCACTGTCAGTAGTATTTAGATGCTTCATTTATTTTTCTCCCTCTTTTTAAATTAAGTTGTTCATGTATATAACAAATCCTTGTTAAGCATACCACTCCGGGTGCTGGAAAGGTGGCGGTGAACAAACCCACAAAGTCTCTGTTCTCAAACAAACAAACCCACAAAGTCTCTGTCCTGTCTTCTCCAGCAGGAAGAAGCCAGGTAAATTCACCTAGTAATACACAAGAAACAAATACAAATATCTGATATTGATAAGTCCTATGCAGAGATATAAAATGAGGTGATTTGCTAGCCCGTGCTGGTGGACAATGATGGATGGTACAACTAAAAGTTGGTGGACAAAGAGGGCCTCCCTGAGAAGGCAATACTAGATTACACAAGTAGGGGAGTGTCACAACAGAGACCTAAATAAGAGGGTGGGGGCAACCCATTGAGGATGGGAAGAGCATTCTACACCCTTAGCTGGGAGTGAGCTAGCATCTCTGAGTCATGCTGGACACCAGTGGGCAATGGAGACAGTGATGGGACCCATGGTCACAGAAGAGAGCAGGGGTCAGGTCACCTAGAACTTCATGGTCTGAGAAAAGGAATCTGGGATATTTGTGCATGAACATGTTATATGTTAACATGAGGTCATAACTCAATATGGATGAGTCCTAATTCAATAAGATTGGTGTTCTTATAAAAGAGGAGAGGAGACACAAAAAGAGACAAAGAGGGAAAACGGTGTGTGAAGATGGAGGCAGAGACTGGAGTGATGCATCTGTTAATCAAGAATACCAAGGACTTCCAGTAGCCACCAGCAACCAGGAAAGAAGCATGGAAACAGATTCTCCTTCAGAGTCTTCTGAAGGAATAAACAAGATCAACACCTTGAATTTGGACTTACAGCCTTCAGAATGATTAGATAATAAATTTCTGGTTTTATAAGTCACCCTACTCAAGGTACTTTGCTACAGTAGCTTTAGGAAACCGACACAAGGGATAAAAGGGAGGAGAGTGAAGACCCTCCAGACTGTGACAACTCACTGGACCCTGACAATGAATGAAGATGACCCAGGTGAGGTGCCTGTGTGTGCCCAAGCCCACAGCTGCTTAGCCACAGAACAAGCGCTTAGATTAAGCACAGGAAGGGACATCACAACCATGCTGTGCTCTAGGACCTTTTAAATATGTGAGGAGTGTCTCCCTCCTTTCCTTCTTCTGGAAGTCTTGTCCTTTCTCCTTACCTATGGTTCTGTCTCCATCAGGGTCTACTTCCCTAGCCATGCTGAGTGCCTCTGTAGTCGCGATGTCCACATTACAGGGTACCACCACCAAGTTGATCGTCTGCTGTCTTTCGATGTACTTTTTGATGAGCGACTTGATCTGATGTAAGAGAATCACACAAAGGAAGATCACATTATGGTCATCCGGGAATACAACTAGACATGTGTGTTGATTAAAAACCAACACTGTCCCCGTGTGGCGCCTACATGTTTCACACCTGTGTGCTTTGGCTTCGTCCGTCCTCTTCCTCTGGAACTTACATCCTCACCACATACCCTGCTCTGCTCTCTACTGACTTCCTATGCATCTTTCAAAGCCTGTCTCTAGTCTTTCGTCTTTCCTGACAACTCCTGAATTCCTGTGGCCTGACGTGACCCCTTCTTCCTCCCAAGATCACCCTATTATATGTCTAGGAGTTTTTTGTCTCTAGGCATTGGCCTATTGAAGATAATTCATATAGATCAGATCATACACCATTTGTCTGTTTTGTGCCTGACTTATTTCACTTATCATAATGTTTTCAAGGTTTGTCTGTGATACGCCATGCATCAGAATCCCATTCATTTTTGTTTGTTTTTTCTTGGTCCCATTCATTTTTATGACTGAACAGTTATTCCACTGTATGGCTATACCAGAGGCACAGGATCGTGTAAATAGTTAGGCAGTGGGTTGCTAACTGAAAGATTAGGATTCAAGTCTACTCAGAGATGTCTCTGAAGAAAGTCTTGCAATATACTTCCAAAAACTCAACCACTGGAGAACCTGTGGAGCACAGTTCTACTCTAATGTCCACGAGGTTGCCATGAGTTGCAGTTTTTTTGTTTTGTTTTTTCTAATGGGTATACCATATTTTGTTCATCTGTTCATTTGTTTATGAGCACCTGGATTGTCTTCACCTTTGGGCTATTATGAAGAATGCTGCTGTGAACATTGACAGACAAGTATCTGTTTGAGTTCCTCCTTGTAAATCTTTTGGGTATCTACCAAGGAGAGAGCTGACTCGACAGCACTTAAAAACAACACCAAGGAGAGGAATTGCTGGGTTGTAAGAAGTTGTGGCAGTGCTCTGGGTTAAAGCCACTGGGCTGCTAACTAAAAGAACAGCGATTCAAACCCACTAGCTGCTCCTGGTGAAGATTTACAGTTATATGGGTTGGAAACAACTAGATGGCAGGGGGTTTGGTGCTTTTTTTAATTTTATTTTGGAGGGGATAATGGTAATTCTTATCAACGGAGAAAAGATTGAAATTGTCAAGGACTTCATTCTTGGATTAACTATTAACACTCACAGAAGCAGCAGTCAAGAAATCAAATGATGTATTGCATTAGGCAAATCTGCTGCACAAGACCTTTTTAAAGTGTTGATGAACAAAGATGTCAACTTGAAGACTAAGGTGTGCTTGACCCAAGCCATGGTATTTTCAGTAGCCTCATATGCATGTGAAAGCTGGACAGTGAATAAGGAAGACCGTAGAAGAATTGATGCCTTTGAGTTATGGTGTTGGAGCAGAATATTGAAAGTGCCATGGGCTGCCAAAAGAACCAATAGATCCATTTTGGAAGAAGTGCAACCAGAGTGCTCCATGGAGGCCAAGATGGCCAAACTTTGTCTCTCATACTTCAGATATATTGTCAGGAGGTACCAGTCACTGGAGAAGGATATCATGTTTGGTAAAGTGGAGGGTCAGAGAAAAAGAGGAAGACTCCCAATGAGATGGATTGGCCAAATGGTAGCATTGATGGACTTAAGTGTGGCAACAGTAGTGAGGTTGGTCCAGGATCGGGCAGTGTTTTGTTCTGCTGTGTATAAGGTCGCTATGAGTCAGTATTGACTCGATGAATTCTAACAACAACAACAACAACAACAATGGTAATTCTAGAGTTTTGGCGTAGTGCTATGGGATAAAGAACTGGACAGCAAAGTCAGTTTGAACCACAAGATTGGAGGTTCAAATCCACTAGTTTTTCCTAGGAAACCCTATACAGGGTTGCTATGAGTCAGAAATGACTCCATGACCAACAACAACAACAAAAGGTGGTCTGGAGTCACTCAGTCAGGTTTCCTTCTGGTGGGGCAGGGTAGTATGGGAGCTGATGGGTAGCTGGATGCCCACAGCTGAAGAAAAATCAGTTCCAGGAGAGAGGAACGGAGCCTCAGAAGGAAGGTGGGGAATGAATGGAGAGTGGGGGAGGTATTTGGAATGCCTGTCTCTCGTGGTCTCTACCCTGATTCCTTCCCCCTTTCTTATCCTGTTCTCCGCTCCCCAACCTCATACATTTAGTAACACTGGCATCTACCTTTCCCTCATGAATCCCTGTCTTTACCTATACTGCTCTGCAGTTTGCTTGAGGAAATATTTTTCCCCCTCTTGAAGGCAGTTCTTAAATTGGGGGAGGGGCGCAAATAGGAACGCAAACATATAATTTGGTCAAAAGCAGTCAAGTAAAAAATAAATAAAAGCCAATTAAGAAGTCAATTAGTTGAGAAAATTTTGGTCAAAATAAATTTTGACTGTTGACTCGCAGTGGCCCTAAAGGACAGAATAGAACTGCCCCAAAGTTGTAATTTTCATGGAAGCAGACTTTCACATCTTTTTTCCACTGAGTGGTTGGTGAGTTTGAATTGCTGACCTTTTGGTTAGCAGTGGAGTGATTAACCACTGGTCTACTAGGGCTCCTCCATAAATGAATTGTTGTTGTAGTTAAGTGCTGTCAAAGGGATTCCAACTGGTAGGTTTGAACTGTCAACCTTGTGGTTCACAGTCCAGTACTGATCCTACAGCGCCACGCCAAAAGTGAATGGTGGTGGTGGTGGTAGTGTGTTGTGGAGTCGGTTCCGACCCATAGCGACCCTGTGTAGGGTTTCTGAGGCTGTAAATCTTTACAGGAGCAGAAAGCCTCATCTTTTTCCCACGGAACGGCTGGTAGTTTCGAACTACTGACCTTGAGGTTAGCAGCCCAATTCATAACCACTACGCTAGTGGACGGAGTCCTGGTGTGGCGCTGTGGGTTAATGCATCAGACTGCAAAGCCATTTGAACTGCAAGGTTGCCAGTACAAGCTCACTAGTTGCTCCTCGGAAACCCTTATGGTGGCTATGGGTCAGAATTGACTCGATGGCACTTTACTACAACAACACGCTAGTGGACAAAAAACCCAGATCCCTGTAATTGAGCCTTTTGAGGTCGGCTCTACCTCATACAGTCCCCATGGCTGCCACTCTTACCAGGTCAATTTCACTTGCTAGCAGACCTACAAGCCCAAGTCAGAAACTGTATGAAGTCCCTGCCCTGAAACTCTGGACACAGAACTCCTGCAGTCACTCATAGGAGAGGTTGCGGGGGTGGGAGTGGGAGGCAGGGAGCCCAGGAGTCCTCGGTGCTGCAGGCAGAGACCCCCCAAGTCCCCTCCACCCAACTACAGCTTGTTCTGTTCCCGACTTCCAGAACTTCTCACCTGTATTCCAATGTCTAGGGGCTGATTCCCCACAGCCACCCTGGTGATGCCGGGAAGATCAATGAGGGTCAGGTCTGGAACATCCGGGGAGTTGATCTCCAGGCTGATGAGTTCATGGCTAATGCCCACACCCTGCCCAGCGATAATATTCTGGACTACAGAGACCAAGAGGGGAGAAACCCAGAGTATGCGTCAGAGAACAACAGTTGTTACTTAAGAAAAATGATTACTATTTTCAGGGTACATTTCGTAGAAGACTGCAGTCATCTTGACGGTGACCAAGTTGGCTATTTAATGTGTAAGTAGTCTCTATGCATGCTACATAAACTTTCAAAAAGAATAAGAAATCATACCAATAAGTTTAACTGTGGAATTATGAATGAGCTCTGCTCTCCCTCTTTTCTTTTATACTTTTCAATATATTCCAATGAAAGTTTCAGTGATTTAAAATATGCCCACACATTCTTTAACGCTCCTCCCTCCCAAAAAATGGAACCTAATTCTCCTCCCCTTAAGTATAGACTGAACATAGGGAGTTTTCCAGAAGTGATGATGTGTGACTAGGTCATAAAAGATGATCACCGGCTCCTCTTTGCCCTCTCTTAGGGCTCCCTCTGGGGGAAGTTTCCTGCCACATCATATGTACTCTGTGTGGAGAATCCTAAATTATGCATATATGGGGACAGAAATTCTCTCTTTTGGAAGGGATCTTCTGGGTGGTCCAGGAGTACCCACTGAGGTCTGAAGTAGTATGTTTTATGCAGTACATTAAACATGTATGTACTGGTCCACTGTTGATGGATATTGTCCATTTGGTGATATCATGATAGTGCTGCTATAAGTATTCTAGCTTGGATATTTGGTTGTGTATACCCAAGAATGGGATGGCTGGGTCGTCATTGTGCACATCTTTAGCTTTTGTAGATTGCCAACCAGCTTTCCAAACTGGTTGCACACCACTCACACTGTCACTAGCAATGAACCTGCTGTTCACCAGGTGTCTTGGCTCTGGTTTTGCTCATTCATTTGTACACAGAACCTTTCCGAAGAGAAAAAGTGCATGTTGGTGCTCTGTTAGGGGCTGAGGTTGTGGTGTGTATGCAGGCTGCCTGCCCTGTCTTCACTGAGCTCACAGTTAGAGGGTCAGACAGACATCCACAAATGCTGCAGGATTTGCTGGTGGTACCAGGAGAGAAATAGGCCGGTTGTCATGGGCCTTTGTCAGGGTGCAGATCTTTAAAAATGTGAAGCTGGGAAATGGGCCAACTGAGAGCTTCAATTCATTTCTGTTTGTGAGAGATGAGGCCTAGAATTAGGGCAAGATGTCTCTACTTTGGAAGGAACCGGTTAGACAACTCATTGGAGGCTTACAGACCTGGGGTTCTTGGAGGAGTGACAAGCCCAGGAAATCATCCAGAGGCCTTGCACTCTGATATTGAGTTTGCTATTTCATAATGCAAAAAGCCTGTCTCTGTAGAACTCAGAGTTCATAGCTGTGGAGAGTCTTAAAAGCTGTTGTTGTTTTTAAGTACTATTAAGTAGATTCTGACTCATAGCGATCCTGTATAGGATTTCCTAGGCGTGGGTGGTGGATTTCAACAGCCAAGCTTTTGGTTAGCAGTCCAGTACTGCTCCTACAGGAAGATTTGTTTATTGTGTGCTCCTCATGCTGAGATCAGGCACCCAGGGGCACAGATGATTTGTACTCAACTGACGTGGCACGATAAGATAAGCACATGGACTGCTAGCCACAAGGTTGGTGGTTCAAATCCACCAGCTGCTCCTTGGAAACTTTATACATTATCACTATGAGTCCGAACCAGCAGAAGATCGGTGGTTCAAACCCAGCTGACAGTGCTTTGGAAGAAAGTTCCGTTGATCTGCCTTTGTAAAGATTACAACACAGAAAATTCCACGGAGCAGATCTACTTTGTCATATGGGGTCGCCATGAATTGGAATAAACTCTATAGCAATATTTATGGTTTGTTCTTGTTTTCTACCACCTGAGACTAGAGAAGGCAGTGAAAATGGAGGGGTGTGGCAGGGGCCTGGTAGGAGGGATGAACAAGTGACCACCAGGGTCCACTAAGGAGGGGCCATCGCATGGAACTTCAGGAGTACCTGATCTTTATTATTATTATTATCATTATTATTCTGAGGTTTTCTATTACTAATTGTAAACCTTGGTAAACACTACTCAGCAGCTCGGTGTTAGCTGTGTTTCAAGAAATTATGGGCGGGCCATGCCCATGTTTGGAGGAAGCTGCCACAAGGCCACAGTTAGAATAGCAAGACAGGAAGACAAGTGATGACCAGGGTGGCTGAGTGTGGTCCAGGTCAGGGTTAGAGCTTATCTAGGGAGGTTTCTGGAGGAGCAGGCATTAAACCAAGACTCCCAAGGATGAGTAGGAATCAGACAGGTGAAGAGGAGGGAAACTGTGTGAGGCAGAGAGACCAGCGTGTGGAAACGCCTACAAGGGAGCAAAAGGGCATATTCCTTTGTGGATCTGGAATCGATCCAGCATTGTGGAGCCTGGAGCTGGGGAGGTGAGAGAATGTGGATGGGGGCTAGACTTCTCCCTGCAGGTGGGAGCATCAAGTGAGGGTTTCAGTGAAAGGTGATTCAATGTGGGTTTGAACTAGAGGGACAGTGGATGTGACAGATTGAGCAGTGCCGTTTGAGAACAAACAAACAAACTGAAGCCAAAGCTGACTCCCAGTGACTCCATGTGTGTCAGAGAAGAACTAGGGCTTTCAATGGTCACCTTTTCAGGAGTAGATGCCAGACTTTTGAATCCTTCTAGATGGACTTGATCCACCAACCTATCGGCTAACAGCAGAGTGGATTGACTGTGTACGTCTCTCAGGGACTTCGCCATATGGGAAGTGAGTGTATTTTGGGGTAATGGAAGCAATGAAGAGGGGTAGAAAGAGCTGGGTGAACAGGGAAAGAAGCCAGTCATAGAATAGAACCAGGAACAACACATAGGGTTCCTACCGTCCCATATAACTTTCTCCACCAGATTGGGATGGTCCAGTTGGTGTTCCATGTTCCTATAACTGATTTTTCCTTTCCATCCATACTCAGGAGGCTGTCTTTTCAGTTTCAACACCAGTGGACACCTAGTGACAATACCTGAGAGAGATTTCCCATAAGCGTAAGTTTCCTGTTAAAAAAAGTGCCATTGATGACTTTTCCTCCTACCTCTTTAGGACTTCCCCAGTGTTCTCATGGGTTGTGTCTGCACTGCCGTGGTGTGGCAGGTGAACACAAGACAAGAAGCCTTTGTGCCTGCTGTGAGTCTCTGACGAGTGGTCACTGGGAACATCCCTACTGGTCATGAGTATGAACCTCTCTGCTGGTTATGAGAAACCCCATCAGGCTTTCTGATGTATGTGGGTGTTGAGACCTCGGCGCCTTTCAGAACTCCTCAGTGTCTCTGGTACACACACCAGTCCCTCAGGTGTGTTTGCATGGGACCTATATTGTCCAGATGGGGGCTCTGAAGAGGGGAGAAAATGGAGACATGCCACAGTGAGACCTGCTTTAGTGGATACAACTTCTCTGAATCCTGGACTGGAGCATGGGGGCGGGTGGGCAGGTAGTGATAGCCTGGGAGAGGGGCTAGAAATCCTGAAGGAAAGGGTCAAAAGATATACTAAAGATGCAGCATGTGGAGGCACCTGGAGGTAGGGAAGGTCTGGGGTGCTGGGGCTAGGGACCTTCAAGCCATAGCTTTTACATTCACCAGGGCCTCCACGCTGTTAAAGACCACTAGAAAGAATCAACAAGGCTGCTGCAGTGACCGTGACTGAAACAGGGCTAATGGATGCTGAGATGTGAACAATGAATGAGAAAATTGAAGACAGCACAGGACACCCTCGTCTCCTGACCATCCCATGCACTTCTGAACCTAAGCAACTTAATATATGGAGGAACTGCCCTCCTGGGATCCTGCTCAACTAACAACTTATCTCTAAAGCTGGTTGGTACCCAAAAGATGCTTTGGTGTCACTTGCTATTAAGCTGAGAGTTGCTTACCACTGCCCCTGGGTAGGGCGACCCCAGACAGAGCCTCCAGCACTGAGCTCTTGCCAGAGCTCTGGTCCCCAATGACAGCGATGGCAGGCAGGGCCAGGTCCTTCTCCACGCCCAGGGCCCGCAGGGAATCGATGAGGTCGATACAGGGGCGCACCTTCTCCTCATAGTGGCTGCAGAGGATGCTCTTGGTCTCCTGCAGAAGGCGAATAGACCTTATTGCTCAGGTTTCAGGTTGGATTTATCCCAGAGGTCACTATACATGCAGAACTTGTGCATGTATGAATGTTGGGTGATGAAAATGATGAAGCGTTTCACTACTAACCAAATGGTTGGTAGTTTGAATCTAGCCATCTGCTTCTAAAAACTCACAGTCTTGACCTTGTGGAGTGCAGTTCTACTCTGACATATGGGGTCAATATGAATAGAAATTGACTCAACAGAAACTGTTGTTGCTATGTTGTTAGATACTGTTAAGTCTGCTCCAACTTATAGCAAGCCTATAAACAACAGAATAAAACCCAGTCCTGCACCATCCTCACAATTGTTGCTATGTTTGAGCCCATTGTTGTAGCCACTGTGTCAATCCATCTTATTGGAGCACTGTCTCAATCCGTCTTATTGGAGCAATGTGTCAATCCATTTTATTGGTTGATAGAGTGGAGGATCAATCCATCTTATTGATCTTCCACTCTATCAACCATGATGTCTCCCCATTTCTTCTTCCTATTCTGTTCTTAGTCTGGAAGCTTCACTAAAAACTGTCCACCACAGATGGCCTTGCTGGTATTTGAAACACCAGTGATGTAACATCCCAGCAACATGCAAGCCACCATGGTACGACAAACAATTGGGGTGACAGGAACTGACTTGAGTTCTTTCTTTATTTTTGGATGATGAGTTGCAGATCAGAACTGGGGTAGTGGATCAAGATATGTCTCAGGGAGGGCTTGTGTTCTATTCCTATTGGGGCTGTCCTCAGGAGAGAGAGGTATTTGGCTGGGGTGGAGAAATACTTCCCAGAGGTGGTACTTCAGGAGGTGGGTCATTGCTTCTGGGAAGAGAACTGGGAGAAGATGCACCAACAGGTGGCAGTTGCCAACCAGAGGGAGGACAGGGACTGCAGATGGGGGCACCCTGGACAGTTATGAGGTCTGTTGGCTATGGTGTGGCAGCTATAGCAGTTGAAGGAAAACTTCCAGGAAGGAGCCCCAACATGTATGTTGGAAAGAGGTTGTGTTGTATAGCCTTATAACTCTTACCCAGGCTCCCTAATTAGAGTCTGGAACCATACTTGATAATAGAGGCTGGGAACTGAGCCTTCCTATCTTCTGGTTTCTTCTTCTTCCTTGTCGGGGAGACTTCTCCGCTCCTTCAGGCCTAAAGAGTACCTCTTTGTTCTGCTTATGATGTGCATCGTATGGTACCTGACCACCTCACTACTGTATCTGTTCCTGGCCAGAAGGAAATAAGGTCCTTCAGGGAGGATATGAGTGGAGTGAGTACAGAACACCAACCCTGCATCCACTGTGGGGAGTGACCTGCTGTCCACAATGACTGATGCCCACTATTGAAGTTACCTGACTCTGTCTCTTCTCTAGGTGAGGAAAGTGTTGTTCCAACCAAAGCCCACCTGTAAGACATGTCTTTCTTGGTGACTCTGGTGAGTCTTTCTTTTTTAATTGTTTCCCTTTCATTTTTATTGTCATTCAAAACAACAACAAATACATTGTTTTTTTTACTTGTCAGAATATTCAGATTCTTGTCATTGACCCTTAACTCATGGTGATTCCATGCCCAGTTGGCTGGTCCTATCATTGTGATCCATCGGATTTCTTTTGGCTAATTCATCCCACCCCCACCCCCACCCCCACTGCCCATAGAACCTATTGTTAAACATTTATACATTCCCCCAGAACAAAACAAAAACCAAGCCAGTTTCTTTAAAGTCAATCCCCACTCATGGTGACCCCATGTGTGTGGAGTAGAGTTTTCAAGACTGTGAACTTTTGGAAGCAGATGGTGAGTCTTGACAACATAGAACAGAAACCCTCAACCCCAGGTCTCAGAGGTCAGCACTGCTGCAGAGACTGTGTGTGTCCATGGTACTTATTGGAAGTGTCCTGAAGACAGAGCTGAGCTGGTTTTATCACTTTGGTGGACCAGCCCTAAAGCCACTCACCAGTGCTCATCTGGCTGGTGACTAAAACAAGCCCTCACTGAACACCCCGTCTGACTTACCTTTGTTCTTGACTGTCTTCTGTCTTTTTCTGTTGCCATGTTGATAAACTGCTGGTTCAGTGTCAATGAGTTGAAGTGTATGGTGAGGTTTCCTGACTGCTGGTTTTGGGGGAAAAATATGTTGCTTGGGAGCTGTGCTAAGACAGCTGTGGCTGTTGTTGGAAGGTCTTCTTTTACTTTTGGAATGGTGTTGGGAAGAAAATGAAGTTTGTTTCCAGTGTGTCCAAAACTTCTGTCCAGCTAAGGATGGTGGGCTCTAACCTCTTGTTCTGCACTCCCAGTCTCCTTAGAGAGCTCTGCAAAGACACAGAATGAGTGAGGGGCTCAAAGGTCATCAAAAAAGTCCTCGCCCAGATTCCATGTTCACCAGCCCCTCCTTGCCTCAACCCAACACAACCCAACCCCTGTCCACAACACAGAGGAAACCAGTAGCCTAGCACAGTCCTTGCATCTGTAGGAGGGGCTCTTGGCAGCCAATAGTCACAGAACACAGGCAAGGGTGTCTGCAGAATTCCAGGACTTGGAGACAAGGGGAAACTAAATTTCCCGTGACCTTCTGTCACTTCTGATGGAATAGCAACCATTCTGTTTCATCTATGGCTTCACCCTCCTGGGTTAGGAGGACAGGATAGGGTACAGACATGAACAGAAACATCTCTTGGGTCTGCTCGAAGCAAACGTGGCCCTGTTGTCGCTGTTTCAGAGCCAGAAGTTTGGTTTGTGTCTCATGTTTTCCCTTAAAAATGACTGTGACCATAGTCCATCTGTAAATCTGACCTCTTGCTGGGCTTGTCATTCATTTCCAATCCAGAGATTATGCAAATCATGGGGATCCCTTACTTCATTTTCATACCACCTGCTTTCCAATCATATTTCCAATATGATTCAAGTGTCTCTTAAGTCCTGTAAGAGCATACAGAAAATATCCTTATACCCAGAGAAATATGTAGGATGCCCCAACAATCATGAGTCAGAGCTGACTTAGTGTTAAGTGGTGTTGAGTGAGTTCTGACCTATAACGACCTATAGGGTTTCTGAGGAGTGACTGGTGAGCTTGAACTGCTGACCTTGTGGGTAAAACTGACTTTGCAGTCATAGCACATTAACCCACAGCTCCACACCAGAGCTCCCCTACTCATGATTGTTGTTGTTGTTGTTAAGTGCCATCGAGTTGATTCCGAACCGTAGCAACCCTTTATAGGGTTTCCAAGGAGCGGTTGGTGGGCTTGAACCACCAACTTGCAGTTCAAATGAGTTTGCGTCTGACGCATTAGCCCATGGCGCTACATCAGGACTCCCAACTCATGATTTGTTGTTGTTGTTAAGTGCCGTCGAGTCGGTTCCGACCCATAGCGACCCTGTACAGGGTTTCCGAGGGTGTAAATCCTTACGGGAGTAGAAAGCCTCATCTTTCTCCCGCGGAGCGGCTGGTAGTTTCGAACCGCTGACCTTAAGGTTCGCAGCCCGATTCGTAACCACTACGCTACCAGAGCTCCTTCCCAACTCATGATAGGCAACCTTAAATAATTAGCAAAGAAACAAGGCTCCAGGAATTGGTAGAATACCAATTGAGATGCTTCAGTAAATGGATGCAACACTGGAAATACTTATTCATCTATATCAAAAGTTTCGCCAACTAACTGGATAAGATCCATATTCGTGCCCATTCCAAAAAAAAAAAAAACTTAACAAATGGAATGAAAAAGTTATTGATCATTGATATCACATCCCAGCGAACTTCCGCTGATGATAATTAAAATAAAAAAATGTTACAGCCATACAAAAACAGGAAACTTTCAGACATCCAAGTTGAAGCAAGACTATAATCATACCAATGGACTCACATATATCAAGACCCTGAAGATGGCGGAAGATCAGACAACAGTCCTTTCTGTTCTACTTAAGGTCATCATGAGTCAAAGCTGACTTGAAAGCAACTCACAACAATATTATTAATTCAAATCTAAAATTTACATTAAGGAGTCCTGGTAGCATAGTGGATTACAAGCTGGGCTGCTAACCATAAGGTCAGCAGTTCAAATCTACCAATAGCTCCTCAGGAGAAAGATAAGACTCCAGTAAAGATTTGTCATTGTTGTTGTTGTTAACTGCTGTTGAGTCAGTTCCGACTCACAGCGGCCCTGTATAGGATTTCTGAGGAGCAGCTGATGGGTGTGAACTGCCAACCTTGCAGTTCAAACCTACCTTGCGGTCCAGTGCTGGCAAGCGCCATAATTTAATTAAGGATTTAAAATAAAGAAATTGAGACATATTAATCGAGGAATTGAAATAAAGAAATGAGACACGGGGAAACCTGCGCATGAAGAATTCATTGTTTTCGCAAAGCAACAATGAACTATTTTTTTTTCCCCTTTGGATGGCAGAGCCACAAAGAGTTGTTTTTTATGCACAGACCCCTAGTTAATTTTTCTCTTGTTGAATCATTCTCTGATTTATTCATGGTTTTATTAGTATCCTTTTTACTTTAGATTTTTGACTCTCCTACACTTTAGTATACTTTAGTATAAGGAGCTCTGGTAGCGTAGTGGTTACGAATCGGGCTGCGAACCTTAAGGTCAGCGGTTCGAAACTACCAGTCGCTCCACGGGAGAAAGATGAGGCTTTCTACTCCCGTAAGGATTTACACCCTCGGAAACCCTGTACAGGGTCGCTATGGGTCGGAACCGACTCGATGGCACTCAACAACAACAACACTTTAGTATATTTTTATTAAATGTTAGAAGCCATACATTAGCTACATTTTATTCTACTTGTAATCATGTTGTTGTTATTAAGTGCCGTCGAGTCGGTTCCGACCCATAGCGACCCTGTACAGGGTTTCCGAGGGTGTAAATCCTTATAGGAGTAGAAAGCCTCATCTTTCTCCTGCGGAGTGGCTGGTAGTTTCGAACCGCTGATTTTAAGGTTCGCAGCCCGATTCGTAACCACTACGCTACCAGAGCTTTAATACTTACATTAACAATGTTCTTAAGACTATTAGGAGACAGGATTTGTCGACTGAATTACTACCAGCTTAGGTTTAGTGATTGTAAACATTCTTCCTTGTAGCCTTAGTTTAAGGCAATAAAATAGGGGAATTGTTTTCATAGCCTCAGCTTCCCTGAGAAGGGATGTTTCTGTAGGAGGAAGTTAAGGAAGTGTAAATTGCACCTGACAATTAGGCTTGATGATTTAAGATTTAACTAACAAAGATCAAGAAACATGTAAAGGTTAACTTGCTTCTCAGAGAAAAGAATAGATTTATGTAGGAACAAATGTTTAACTAAAAGGTTTCAAGGCACCTGTCTCCTATGCCTTGAGATAATGTCTTTGCTGTAACTTCCCATCCCTGTTGTAAATTTAAGAGTTGTAAACCAGGAGGAATGTGCCCAGAATAGATTGTATTTTAATGTCATTAATTACTGTGAAAACAATTGTTTTTGTTCTGTAATGGTAAAGGTTGTGAGAGAAGTGGAGTAGTAGAGTAGCATAGAAATAGGAGTCGGTTCTCGGTTCCGACCCATAGCGACCCTGTACAGGGTTTCCGAGGGTGTAAATCCTTACAGGAGTAGAAAGCCTCATCTTTCTCCCACAGAGCGGCTGGTAGTTTCGAACCGCCCTATTCGTAACCACTACGCTACCATCCTTCGCCAAAACCCTTCAGAAAAACCCTAGAATAAGTTTGCTGGGGCTGGCTCCCGGCACAGTGCATTATCCTGCAGCGCCACACCAAGATTTAGAGCCTCACAAACGCTATGCAGGGTTACTATGAGTCAGAACACACTCCTCGGCACACAACCACCACCAAGTAGTTTACATTAGGGTCTACTCTTTGTGCTTTATAATCCTAAGAGTTTTGACAAATGTCCTGTATGCTCCATTATAGTATCATACAAAATAGGTTCACCATGTTAAAAATGCTCAGTGCTCTATTTCTCTCCCTCTTTTCCCTTGACCTTCTATTAATTTCTTTAAAAACAAAATTCATGACTAGGAGGCCTCTAGCATTCAGTAGTCACTACTCTATGGGCTCCGCCCCACAGCCAGAAGCTTCTGGAAGCCCAGAATATATATTAAGTACAGGAGACTGAGGTCTTGACTTGGTAGGAGAAGGGAAAGAGGAACTGAAAAGCAGACGGCCAGCAAGAAAGGAGAGGAAAGAAAAAGAGGAGAAGGAGAAGAAGGAGGCAGGAGCCAGGGTTCAGCCAACAGTGAAGAAAGTACAGAGAAGAAAGAAAAAAGCAAGAATGAAGGAGGCAACAACCAAATACAGAGGTCAAAGGGTATAAAGACAAGAGAGGGCAGGAAGGCCTTCCTAAAATGGACATTGAAGAGAAGCAATAAAACCAACAGAGCCTGGTCCTATGCCAGCCTCATAATTATTACTGGGGCAGTTCATCTCTTTCGGGGTCTTCTTTTTCTCTGACCCTCCACTTGGCTAAGCATGATGCCTTTCTCCAGGGACTGTTCCCTCCTGATAACATGTCCAAACTATGAGAGACAAATTCTCACCATCCTGGTTGCTACGGAGTGTTCCAGCTGTACTTCTTCCAAGGACCTGAGCCATGGATGTTTAGATTTCCTTCTTCAACCTGGCAGCTTTCTATGTCTTTAGGGTAATTGTAGTAAAATTAAAAAGATTGTGCTCAGGGGATTCGTCGTTGAGATGAAACAAGGTGTGTAGTTTGTGGAATGTAAAACTGATGATCAGTTCTGTAAACCTTCACTCAATTCACAATTAAAAGTTTAAAAACAAACCAACAAAAAGATTTTACTGAATCTGTATAAACTCTAGACAGACCAGTGGTGACAGACTGCCTTCTTTAATATTAACCAGGAATTTATTTTCTCCTGTAGGCAGAATAGAACAAAAGCAACCTGGTTAGCTGAGGTCTGGTCACAGATCTCAGAAAAGAGAGGAAGGAAATTATTATGACTCATGTGTTCACGTGATTTTCCATCCTAGGCTTAACCTCAGGATTTCATGTTAAACAGAGGGGCGGAGTGAAATGTCTGATTGACACAAAGCGTTTGCTAGA